ACTATATACATATTTTTCTATTTATAGATGAACAAATCTCTAGTTTATTCAATTGTTTCTCAGTAAATTCATTCTTTTCTTTTATACTTCACATATTTATGAATAATGAAAAGCAAATAATAAAAAACACTATCAATAAAACACAATTGAAAATAAATCAAGAACTAATTTATAAGAAAATTACAAGTTAAATGAAATGATGGTAAACAATTTATTTAGTACTACAATACCAATTTGAATGAGTATTGATATTTTAATTGAAATTAGAATGAATAATGATATAATAAAATAATAAATATAAATGACAAAATAATGAATATAAAATAAATAACAATCATTTGAATGATATTATTAATAAAAATGAATAGAAACATAATAATTTAAAATTCATTCTATTTCATCTATTCATATCTAAAGTATTTAAAATACCACTATCATTAAAAATGAAAAAAATATAAAAGAAATATAAAATGAATAATACAAGTATCTAACAAAACACAAAGTATCTATTAAAATGAAAATAAATAAGAACAAGAAAGAATATAATAATGGAATAACAGAAATATAAAGTAATAAGAATAATAAAATAAGAAATAATATAAAGAAGAGAAATAAAAGAAGAAATACAATAAAAAAGACAAAAAAAGAACAGATAGAAGAAAAAATAAAACAATTGTAGAATAAATAAAAATAAATATAGAAAAGATGAAATCATTTTAATGATATTACATAATTTAATTACTTCAAATTAAAGATTCTTTATTTCCAATACCTTTATTTCATTGATTATTATTGAATCACTTCATTCATTCTAATAAACTGTTTACTCAAATCATTATAAAATCATTTAAATGAAGGTTATTAAACAATAAACCATAGAATAAAAAGAAAAAAAAGAAGAATTAAAAACAAAATATCTTATTAATTCTTGATTAAAAATAACAATACAAACAACAATCATCTGATTTAATACTAATAAGAGATTATCCAAAAAAATAATACACTTCTTTTGTACTCATTTTATAAAAAGAACAAAATAAAAAAGAATAAATTTAATAATTAATGGATAAAAGAAAACACACCATCGATTTTATTTTACTTGTTTACTTAATAATGATTTAATGAATAACTTTTGTTGTTGTAAAATAGATATAATAGAAAGATAATATTGTTGTTCAAGTTGAATTGATACTTCAGTAAATTCAATTTTGGTTGATGTCATATTAATGAAATTTTCATATTTTTCTTTGATTTTGTTTATTTCTTTAACTTCTTTTGTAGTTAAATTATCTTTTAAATTAACTAATATCTTTTTTACTCTTTCTTGATGTACTTTAATGATTTGGTTTTGTTGATTTATTTGTTCTTGTTTTCTTCTAATAGAAATTATATCTGATATTAACTTATTAATTTCTTCTAAACAAATCCTAAGATGGTGTTGTGATAAAGTTTGGTCTTTACTCAACAAATAAACTCTGTTAACGAATTAATATATTTTTTTATTAACTAAATCATAATAAATAATACAAACTTAACAAGGGCATTTTGGTATTCTTTCTGGATCTCAGTAAATTGATGTTCTGATGTATCCATTGTGTTTTTTTTTGTTATATTTTTTAAGATTTTCAAATAACAAATTAAAGAATTAATAGTAAAAATAACTATAAATCTATTCTATAAATGACAAAAGAGATTCAATCTATTTTATTCTCCGTTAGACCTTTTTAAACACACCAACTTGATTTAATGATGTTAATACAATTCCAATAATGGACAACATAACTCCCAATACCATTATACTAAATCCTAACCATTTTATAACTCCTTGATGGGTTTTATATACAAAAAGACTTGGAAAGATATACACTACTAACACACCAAATATTGCTCCATTATAAGCTAGTACAACTTCAATCTGACTTACTGCTAAAGCAATAAGAACAATTAAACTAACTAACGTAAGTGTTTCAAAAATCCTTCTTTTATCAGAGTCTTTCCACATCCCAAAAAAGAGTTGATCAAACAAATCTCGTTCAGCGTGATGAACTAATGGAAATGAAGCAGCCATAACAAGACAGAATGAAGCACATGCAACTAAAATTGGAATATCATCATAGGGATAATTCACTAAAATATTTCCACTACATTCATTTCCTCTACTTAAATACCCAAATGTTCCAACCAACGAATAAGTTCCAAGTGCTATCAATGTAGATACAACTTGAACAAAACTCATTTTAAAAGTACTTCTTTGAGAAAGTTCTGTATAAAATCTTAATACGTTGTAATGTCCACAAAAAGCAACAGTCATAATTGGAAATCCTCTAAACATTGACCATTGAAAATTAGCAAATTTTGCAGAAATATGAAGTTGTTTATATCTAGTAAAATATTCAACTATAATAGTAATCATAGTATAAAATATACAAATAATTGAAATAATTGATGTAAACTTTAACGCACTTAAATTTTTAAAAAACGTTAAAGGAAGAATTAATAAAGACATCAAAGTAATCATTAAACTTCTATCACTATACCATTCATCATCATAATCTCCAAATAATCTTGGTGCAAATCCTCCAAGAAAAATTATATATCCAATACATGTTCCTGTAGTATAACAAAATGCAGATAATTGTACTACTATAGATAAATATTTCCCACCAACACAATAAGAAATTTCTTTATATGTAAATTTATTTGTTTTATTTGACGCTAATGTTAGAAATATCATTGTTATTGCTGATAATATCCATCCTACTCCTAACATTATTAATCCTATTCCCCATCCAGAATAAAGAAATGCAAATGGAATAGCTAATGTCCCACTTCCAATTATTGTGTTTGATAAATTAAAAATAGTAGATAATACTGATGCATGTCCTTTCTCTTTCATTCTTTCTTTTTCAATCTCATTTTAAGTTCTTTTTCTTTTTTTAAGTTCTTTTCTTCCTTTTTTCTTTTATCAAAAAAAATATATATTTTGTTATATAATATATTTTGTGTTATATAACAAAAATAAAAAGGGAAACAAATTAAAAAACTTAAATATAGAAAAAAGAAAAGAGTTGATTCTAAAGAAGAAAAGAAAAAAGGAAAAGTGATAAAAAAAAATAATAAACAAGGGATTTATTGATTTTTGTAATATCTAAAAAATGTTAGTATGAGTAAAGAAGGAGTAGTATTTTATTACCAATCACATGCCCACATGATGTTACCAGTGTGGTGCGCATTACATGGTCAAACAGTTGAATTATTTCATGAACAACGAGTTTGCTTTTCATTAAAAGAAGCAAAAATAATGATGGTTTCAAGTGAAGAATATAATTTACCACCCGAGTTATTACAAATATATAAATATTCAATAATGATTAAACCAATAAGTGATGAAGAAAAAGTGTTTTTCTTTTGTGATGAATTTATGTTTAAAAGATGGACAAAATATATTAATGATAGTGTTGAAGGTAAAGATATTGAAGGGTCAAGTTTTACGTTATCACAAAGAGATAGTAAAACATTTCAAAAAATGAGTAAAATAAAAGTATTATTTGCAGGTGCAGAACATTTATTACATGATGAAATTGGAACTATTTTTAATGAAATTTCATTAAATACAACAAAAGAAGGAAATGTTTTAATGAAACAAAAAGTCGGATTAAAAAAAAAATATTTACCAGTTTATGTTGTTGTTTCACCACCATTGTTACTTGTTTTTCAATCACAAGATGATTATAAAAAGATAAAACCTTTTGCTATTTTAAATTTATTAAATATCACTGTTAAATTATCTGACCATCATGAAAATACTATCATTCTTCAAGGAAAAAAAAATTTGTTCTTTAGAACAGGATTCGATAATAAAAAATTGTATTATTATAAAGATCTTTGTTGTTTTTGTATTGAAAAAGATCAATTATCTTCTTGGATGACAATTATTAAAGCAACTGTTGATTTGGTTTGGAGGGTTTGGGGTGCAATGATGTCTGCACAACCATTTGACCCTTCACTATTTGGAAGTGTTAACGAATCTAGTGTGGACTCTGAAGAAGACCGTAAAGACCAACAAAGTCAAACAATTCCAATCATTGATTCTATTGGAACATCAAGAATTAAGAAAACTCAAAAAGAACAAAGAGGTTTAAATAAAATTAATTCGTTTAATGAAGTTAATGAAAAAAAAAGGAAAGAAGATTTAGAAAAATTAAAGAAAGCAAAAGAAGAACTCTCTAAGTTAGAAGAAGAAAAAACTCTAGCAGAAAAAGAAAAAGAAGAGGCAAATGAAAAAGTTCAAAAATTAGAAGAAGAAATGAGAGAAAAGAAGATTGAGATTGAAAAATTAAAAGTAGAGAGAGAAGAATCTTTTAGATTATTGAAAGGGCAAAAAGAACAAAGTTTATGTGAAATTCAACGAGTAGAACAAGAAAAGGAAAAGAAGATTAAAGAAGAGGTTGAAAAGGCACATCAACTAAGAGAAAAGGAATTTGAAGAATTATTGAAACGAATTAGAGAACTTGAAACAATCAATTCAGAAAATGAATATAATAAAGATGAACTTAAAAAGAAAAGTCTTGAAATTTTAAAAATTCAAGAAGAAAAGGAAGAATTAGTTTTAATTGTCCAAGAGATAAAAGAAGAAAATGAAAAAAGAATTAAAGAAATTGATAATTTACAAGAAAATAAAGAACAAAATGATCGTATTTTTAAAGAAATGAAAAAAGAAATTGAAGAAAGAGAACAAGAAATAATAATTGAGAGAAAACAAGGAATAGAATTACAAAATGAAGTTAAAAGAATAACAAGTAAAAGTAGTAAAGATGTAGAAGAATTAAATAACCAAATTGAAGAGTTACAAAAAGAAATAAAAAATCAAAGAAGTCTTGTACAAGAAATTGAAGAAAAGAATACATTATTTAAAAATGAAATTAAAGAAGCAAAAATCAAAGAAGAACAAACAAAAGAATTTTTTACAGAAGAAATAAACCAAATAATAAAAAAAGGAGAAGAAGAAAGAAATGAAATAAAGAAAGAGAATGATGTGATGAAAGACGAGATAAACAAACTTAAAAAAGAAAAAGAAAAAATACAAGAAGAAGTAATCAATAGAAAGAAAGAAAAAGAACAAATTAATGAAAAATATAATAAAAAAGAAATAGAAAACGAAGGTTTTAAAGAAAAATTAAAAAATGAAATACAAAAACGAGAGGTAATTGAAAGTGATAAGACTTCTTTACAAAACCAAATTATTCAATTGAAAAAAATGATTGAAGAATTAGAAGAGAAGAATAATTATAACATTAATAAAATTAATGTATTAAATGATGAGTGTTCAAAGAAAGAAATTGAAGTTGAAAACATTAAAAAAGAATTTGAACAAGAAATAAAAAGTAAAAGAGAAGAACAAATTAAAGAAAAAGAAGATAAAATCCAAGAATTAAAAAATAATAATGAAAAGAAAGAACAAGAAAAAGAAGAAGAAATTAAAAAAATAAAAGAAGAAATGAAAATGGCAGAAGAAAAATATAAAAATAATATTTCAACAATTATAACAAAAAAAGATTTAGAAATATGTCAACTAAAAGAAGAAGAAAAG